TTAAGCGTTGAACGTTGACAATAGTTTATCATAAATGATGCAATGACTTTATTGAGCTGAATCTTCATAAAACGTTTTTCTCAACAAAACTGACCAATGAAAACCCTAAATTTCAAATGTCCTCCTAAATTTGCAGTCAGTGGTGATCAAATTTTGAATGAACCTCCATTGCTCGTCGAGTATTCTTACAATTAAATTTGTTTTCCTTGTGAACATTTGTTGCTGTCAAATGAGACAAACTTGATGTCTCGTCGCTAAAACGCGACAGTGAACAACGTTACTCTAGTTTATAGATCCCTCATGGATCAAATACGCTCAAGGTAAACATCTCCACAACTGACTTGTAGCACACACTTCCGCTTTGACTACTTTTCGGAGGCGCCGTACTTGTTAATTAACTGCCCCTGATAACTATTTAGCTTCTGTCTTAAATAAACACAACTATTCCTTTGCTTTGTATATCTTCCATATTTACGTATTCCCAAAAGCTTTGTTACAAATATTTGATTTAAAGCAAGTTTAACTTTGACAAAATCAGTGACGGAATCTGTGTAATAGTGTGTGATATTAACTTGGGCACGCTATCCGAAACTCCGGAAACGACAAGGTGAATTTTGTTTATACCCCTTACAGAAACTTCCTTAAGACTAATGAAGGCTCTCCTGTGATTTAAAATTTTTTTCGTGAAAGACTTTTTAAATTTGAGTTTATCATCCCGCGTATTCATAACCAAAATGAAACCGAAGAAAATGCGAACCAAGCTGGTCTAAAATTTTTAGACTAAGAAAAATTTGAATCACAAGAACATGTCGCAGTGACTTCCACTTGTTGTTTGACAAGCGAATTGTTTCGAAATAGTACAGATGTCAGTTAGGCTGCGTTGTGGCTGTGCCTAATTTCCTAAGTTCCTGATTGTCGACGAGATGAACGTTTAGGACAAAATTATTATCTAAAAAAATTTCGCATGCGTCGTTGCCTCTCCTAGAGTCGGCAAGCCCCGTAGAATGGCAGAAAGCATTCATCATGCCCGCCTGTAACTTTCAAAAACACGCCTTTCCTCCGATGATCTTTTGTTGTAGTAAAGATTTTCTGAAGTGTTCGTTTACAGGTGAAGAAAGTGATACATTTGGTTATTTTCTTCCGTCACAAAGGTGATTCACTTGGGTTCTGTGTACTTCCCGATTTGGATGTCAATGTCCCAGAAGCCTTGTCGAAATTGATGTACAAGTGGTCCTCGTACATGCGCATGTCGATATACTCCTACGACAAGTGAAAAGATGATTGACAGGAATCAATCAATAATTATGTACGTGCAGGTGTCAGTGGACTTGAGGTAGCTACACTGTGAGGGAGGAGCCGTCAAAATTGACGTACAAATTGTCTTCGTATATAGCCATGTTTACGTATTCCTAGGAAATGATAAGGACAAAAGTCGTAAATTTGGTTTAGGCAAAGAGTTATGAGTTACTATGCAAAACGCAAACGGTCTGATCAAGGGAGGTAACTTTAAAACAAACCCAAACAATAACAGAAACAGTGACAAAGATCGAACAGTATACAGGTCTTTACGCTGATTTACCAGCCTGAGAACCGACGAAAGATGTTGCCCACTCGTCCAATGCGAGTTTAAGGCTTTCTTCGTTTTCTCACAACATCACACGCAGGTTATTACCCTTACGGCGCGATTTAATGATCACAATTTAGGACAGATTTTTGACCAATCAAGATAGTTTTTGATAACACAACATCAACACTGGCAAAAGGAAATTTTTTGAATTAAACCTACCTTTTCATCGCTGAACATTTTACTAAGGTGCTGGGACAGCTCTACGAATGTTGGCCGTCGCTGAGGGGCCACTTGCCAGCAATCCATCATAAGGATGTATCTAGAGGGATTATCGACAAATGTAAGGTTTGGGGAGCGAAATTGAAAAAAAAAAAAGAAAGGCAGTCTTCACGAAAGTTATCTGATGGTCCCACCAATATTTTCTGTCGCGTACACCCTTTGACATTGAAATGTCTGTTTAAAATAGCATTTTCCTGGCTGAAAGATTACGTGGATGAATGTAATTTGGGTTTAGGCATTGTCATAACAGTAATCACAGCATCCAAGTGGAACGGAGATAAATACTTCATGGAAACAATAAGAAATTAATTGATAAAAACAAACGAACTACCTGAAGCACGGGAAACCGTGGGCGGCGGGAAACCGCAGGTGTGTAAGTTGCGAAAGGGCTCTGCTTTTTCAGCTTTTCATGTGATTGGTTGAGAGGGTGATGCGATATTTCTAAACTATTTGCGGAACAGTGATTGGAATTCTCTCTCTCTTCCAAACTATACAAGTCGGCCGCCCATTGAGGAGCAAACGTTTCAACCCGACGATTTTAGCGCAAAAGAATAGAAGGAAATGTGTGTAGCCCCGGTTAAGGACTTTGTCGGGAACAAGGTGGCACTTACAAATCTTCAGAGCAGTGCTTAGGCCTATCCATCCTATATGAATCTTGAAGAAAGTTGATCACTTCCTGTGAGTTCATGCCTGGATACGGTGATGCACCTGTTGAAGGAATAATTCAATACTTCAATTTCTATCAGTGGCTAGCTAGAGCTGTTGGATTGAATTTCAGGTGATAAAGTTCCACCTAATGCCGTCAAGATGAAAGTAAAAGCCTGCGAAATCTTACCTAACGTGACGATTTCCCAGAGCACGACGCCAAAGGACCACCTGAATGAGACAAAAAGACGGTTTCGATTTGGAGAGAAGTTGAGAGGACAGTAAATCTTAGCTCAACAACGGTCGCCGAATAATGGCCAACATTTGTCCCACGACCTGGCTCAAAATTCTTCATCATCGATGTCATGATATACGATAACACAACGCTTTCGAGGTATGAACAGAGCACGGAAAGGTCCACGTATCATGACAGAGAACAAAACTGTAACTTGCAGTATGCAGGGCGCTTGTCTATGGCCTACCACATCTGACTGTGAAATCCGACGATTTGAGGTTGGCAACCTCAAGATTCAGTCTAAAACAGCTGTGATGATTTTTAAAAATTTTCTTAAGCGAAAAGTCAATCGCTTCTGCCAAGTTTACAGTAGTCGGTCTATTTGGAAATACTTTGGACAGTTAATCAAAAGAAACCTTGATCTGCGACTCTTGAAAATTGCAACAAAGAGGCTGCCTTCAATGACAGTCAAGTTATCACATTCGTAAAATTTACTTACACGTCACTTTTTGTTGTGGATACACCATCTAATAATGACTCTATGGCCATCCATTTAATTGGAAATCGTCCTCCCTATAAAAACAAATAAAAAAATAAATAAATAACATAGGCTTTGACTACTCTAGAGAGTTCGTTTGATGAAAAAAACAAAAAATCAAAATCGAAGGAACAACAGCTGGTAGGAAGAAAGCGCCCATATCGCGTTGTGAGTTCTCAGGCAAATACCCTTCTGCTAAAAATGTTCGGAATTTGCATCAATTCTCAATTTAAGTCCACATATAAGACTTCATGTGCATTTTTATAACGATTTGTTATCTGATTCAGCGCAGGTTACAGTCCAGCCAGTTCTCAGTTTCCCTAGGTACTCATTCATGTCTTTTTTAACCTCCTGCACGGTGAAAGATTTTACGATACTTTTTTCCAGAGCCCCTGCTAGGACTCGACGTCCCCAAACTCAGACCTCTCGGAAGCTGGCCTTGGCGCTCAGGACACTAAGCCACAACGTCTCTTACTAGGGCTGATCAAAAGAAAACTTTCCCTCATTTATTGACGGATTCATCAGCAAGCCAATGAGTTCAAAATTAGATCCCAATGCTTACTATATATTACTCACTTGCGTTTTTCTCGTGTAGTGATTTTCTACGTAAATGTCCCTAGCGAAGCCAAAGTCGGCCACTTTACAAACTTTGTGTTCGTCAATAAGAACGTTTCTGGCCGCAAGATCCCTGTGAACAACCTACGAAAGCGATCGGTACAGTCGGTAGAATTCTAGGTAGTAACATTTCTGGTCAACTTTACTCTTAACCCCCTTCCTCGGACAAATTGAATATATGAATGTGAACATGACTCACTCTTGATCTTCAAGCGCAGAAATCAGCTGCAAGATATTTCACATTAACTCACGAAACTGATTGGAGAGATGATAATACCTTCATGGCAGCCAGATGTGCCATGCCTCTTGCAGTCTGTATGGCAAACGACAAAAGATCCCTGGAACCGAGTTTTTCAATGGGAACTTTGTACAAATCTTGGTAATATTTATCTTCTACACCACGGCAGTGACGCAGATAACTCTGAAGATCGCCATAAGCACAGAATTCCACTATAACCATCAAAGGCTCTGTAAGGTCAACAGAAAGTAATATTCAGTATAGGCATCATTCTATGTGCATATGAGTGAAGCTCTTGATGCGAAGAAACAGGGTGTGAAGTAGCTCAAGAGATTTGATAAGGTGGAAGAGAAGCTGATGGAGTTAGCAGGAGGTTTTTATGTCAAACTAACCTTGTCTTGTGCAACATCCTAGTAAGCCAATAACATTTGGGTGTGGCTCAATGAGCTTGAGGAGTTCCAGCTCCGCAAGCAGATCTCTTCTGGCCGTCTCACTGTCACTTTCTATAGAAAAAATAAATGCAGTAAGTTAGATGAGTCTGTTGGGTTTGCCAAGAGAGAATAAAGTTAAAGAATGAATCTTCAATATTCTAAACTTCGCACTTCTTTTTCTAAACTTGCACGAATGAACTTTTTAGTAGACAAAGAAGGAGGGAGATGTCTCATTAAGGCTGCAAACTTCTCAGATCTTGGCGTAACCCATCGAAATTTAACAGTTTTAAGCAGTCTGTGTTTAGAAGTCGACTGCATCATCACTTGGACGATCGAGGACGATCGCTTGCGTTCGTTCAGGCCTTTTCTTTTTTTATCTTCACCTACCGCTGATACTGATTTCTTGCTAACTTTTGACGTAAGGGAAGAGCTCACTGTGTTAATTATTTGCAGACACATATTTTCCACTCTTCTACTTGCCTTTTACAATTTTCACTGCAACGTGCATTTTTCCCACACAGCCTTTGATGCCCTGTGCCTGTGCTTTCATAACCACGCCAAATGCACCCGATCCCAGCACCAACTGCAAGTCAACTCTGTTCCGCGGGAATTCCCAGGGATTGTTTGATAACTGAGTCACTGAAGCTCCTTGCTCCACATTTGGTTGAGGTAGGGGTATATTTGGAATGTTATGGCTTAATAACTAAAGAAAAAGACGTATAAAAGCATTAAAGAGTGAACCCTTGGATGCCTACTATTCGGGTTGAACACAGATGGAAGAATAAACGAGAAAACAAGGTGAAGTTGAGTCTCTACTCGTAATATGAAATGGTATGGAGAACTTCCCCTCCCCCTGGGTAGGATGCTGGTCCATTGCATGTTATCTTCTCCCCCCCCCCCCCCCCTGGAATTTTGTCAGGCCTCTTTTGTAGTTTATTTATACTCCTGATCGGAGGGAGGCTAAGGATCGAACCAGGACATCTCGACCCAGAGCCTTGCGCTAACTGCCTGTCCATCGGACAGCATAAAGAGGTTCTTACCGCGGTCATTTCGGCTGGTTCCTGTTGGCTCGTAGGCCGGCTGTTCGATGGCGTATCCCCTGGGCTGTTATTCTTGTGCATCTTCTTAAAGAAGCAGAAGATTGCAATGATACCAAACATGATGGCCAGGAAACCCCCCCCGACCCCACCCACTAATGCTGTCATATTTTCAGTGAGTGCCGCGAAGCCTTTACTGGTCTGCGCTTCATTATTGGATTCTGGAGGAGAAAACAAAATTAAGATTCTTAATAAACGAATCAAAACAAATTCAAAGTTAACTGAGTTGACAGAAAAGCAAAGTCCATATAACAGACCTCCTTGCAAAGTTAAATTCGAAAATGGAATTTTAAGTGGCTGGCTTTTGTACATTCCCAAGGTGGCTCTTCCCTCAATGTTTTCCAGGTTGCATTCTAATTTGGAGTATTTCTTTTGGTGGAAGGAGGAAAACCGGAAAACCTCAACCGACTCGTGACGTGAGCTACTAGAATCGAACCCGGGCTGGTTGAGCCTTCAGTCTACTGTTGTAGTGATCAAAATGGCCGCCGTGACGTCATGTGAAAGCGATATATGAATGCGATAGAGGAATGAATACAATATGTGAATGCTTCACTGACCAGGTTGGTCACAGCAATTTCAAAGCTGACGAAGATTTGAAATCGGACGCTTTTTTTACTGGAAGGCGTCTTCTTACCTTTTTTCTTGGTGTTGGCAAAATAGGTGGAACTAGGAGTACTGGTGCCGAGGCTATTGGTTGCCAAGATACGGAAGTTGTAGTTTGTGTCTGGGTCGAGGTACATGATGGTATATTTGTTTTTGTTAGGCGGTTTAATCTGGATTTCATTCCAATCTTTCTGTGAACTCTTTCTGTACTGGAGTATCAAGGCCTTCAGTTCCAGGCCACCATCATCGTTAAATGTCCACGTGACCAAAGCTTCTCGATCCGTGGTTTCCACGGAGATTATTGTTGGACTTTCTGGACGAGCTGTACAAAAATGAATGAATGAATAAATAGATGAAGATAAGGGAAACAACAGAGCAGATCAATTGAAAAAGATTATCTTTCTTGATCCTCAAAATCACGAGGGTGAATAGTTTCACTCTGATACGTTGTCAAAATAATTTTAGTTTACCCTCCCAAAATTGCGGAGAGGGGCAGGGGGGG